GGCAACGTGATACAAATTTTTTTTTGGGTGGTGGGGTATTGTTATCCCCGTTTGTCAGTAACCTAAAACGTTTCATCCCTAGTTTAACTGTAGAAAATGATTTGTTTTTTTTTACCATGAGAACTGGAGACTACTTGTCAGTATTCAAAGCATTTTTTTATCGAAAACAACTCCCTGAGCTTCCTTCGGCTGCGCTTAATACATTGGCTAGACACTACGTATTATCCAAGATTTGACCAAATATACTGTATGAAGATTGAAAATGTGATTTAAAAAAAAAAAAATCACACCTAGCTAATTCATGTTGCTTGTGGTCAAAAAAAACTTCAAAGCTGACATGTTACACAAAATTTGTCTGTTCAATCTTTTGGGATTTCCTGAATGCTTCCATTTTGCATGCACGAGCTGCATGACTTGCGTCTGTGCCATTTGCTTGTACGTTCCTCTAAATGATCTTAACGTATTGTCAGTCCTCAGTTCCGATCGTGTGGAGCAGATGACCAAGACGTACAATGACATCGAAGTGGTCACACACCTTCTGGCTGAGGTTGGTATCGTGCCGCGCGCCGTCGTTTTGGTTTCTCACTCGTGCCCGCATCAGATCATTTCCCTTGAGCCCGCGTCTCTTGTCGTCAGCGTGATAGAGACCTGGAGCTGGCGGCTGTCGTTTTAGTTTCTCACTCGTGCCCGCATCAGCTCATTCCCTTGAGCCCGCGTCTTTTGTCGTCAGCGTGATAGAGACCTGGAGCTGGCGGCTCGGATCGGACAGTCGCTTCTGCAGAGGAACCACCTGCTGCAAGAGCGCAACGAGGCTGTGGAGGAGCAGTTGGCGCAGACTCTGGACCAGGTAGCTTCAAATGCTTCATCAAATACAGTCCAGATTTCATTCCTGTCATTTTGATTTCTTCGTATTTCAAAACAACTATCTCACTAGTGACTCACTGTTAAGTCACTCACTGAACAATTAATATACACGCGACACATTACAATAAATTATAGTTTTGTCAAAGGACCCAAACTAAACGAAACAGTGGTGGGTGCATCAGTCTATCTTAAGCGTTCCGTCATCATTTCAGGCCGGCCTGCGTGGACCCAGTCCGTCCGTCATTGGCAACTGCCAATCGGCCTTGAAAATGCACTTGATAAGTTAAACATAGGTGCAGCACAAGCACACATGAAGAAAAAAAAAGATGCGCACACACACACACACACACACACACACACACACACACACACACACACACACACACACACACACTGGTGATTGGTTAAATAATGCCATTGCTCTCTATGTGACCGAAAGTTAATTTACTTATTTTAACTTGATTTGGCTGAATGTCTGCTTGCTGCGCCGGCGTATGACGTAGTACCGGGTAAGAAACTTCTCGACGCCAATTAGCTGTTGCCAACCACTGAGACGGAACTGGGCCGGCCTGGAAAAAAAAAAATGACAGAACGATGACTGACGGGACTGCCGTGTCCACCACTACAAAATAGCAGCACATTTAATAAGTGTCTGGGTTCTGTCGAGAAAATCATACATGCTAAATCGAACCGGAAATGAATCAACAGTTCCGTTGTACGTCAAGGTGTAGAGGATGATTAACAACTGTTAAAAATAGCAATCAGTGTCAGCACATGCCTCTATTGTCACTTTAGAATGCAAGAATTGCCTCCGAAGGAACTCGTTAGATTCTGGTTATGTCATTCAAGAAAATAAAAGTTTGTATTTCATTTCATTTCATTAAGAGGGCTAATCGTTTTTGCCGTTTTCTGTAACTTCAATCCTAAATTTGGAGCCGTGTCCAGCGTGCCATTTCCTCCCCCCCACAATGCCAAACATGCTCTCTGAGCAGGTTCACCAGTTGCAGCACGAGCTCAGTAAGAAGGATGAGTTGTTGCGCATGGTGGCCAGCGCCTCCGAGGAGTGTGAGGGAGACTCCAGTGCATCAACCCCACCGACGCAGCCTCCGTTAGCCGGCGGAACCGCCGCCGCCGCGCTCAGCCAGCTGGAGTCGATGCAGTGTAAGCTGCAGGAGCTGGAGGAGGAGAACCTGGCCCTGAGGTCTGAGGTTGGTGGTGAATTAGAACATTCGGGTTTGTCTACGACGGAGGAATTGGCCAATTCTTGACATGATAACTTATCCCAGGCCTGCCAGCTGAAGAGGGACACCATTACCTATGAGGAGAAGGAACAGAAACTTGTGAGCGACTGTGTCAAGGAGCTCCGTGAGTCTGTTTTATTTTTATTATTATTATTTTTTTTATATCCGTGAGTCTGGGTTTTTTTTTTGTTTTTTGTTTTTTTATATAAGTATCAAAGTGGATTTTTTTTTTTTCTTGAAAGTGATTTTCCATGTTAACGTCATGTGACTCGAAGGAGAGTGTCAGTTTATTGCATAAAGGTCTCGTTGTACTCCCACGCACGTGCGGGCCACAACAGTTGCATTGCATCACATGACCGACGCATCGTGTTGTGCGTACGACAGCAATTGTCGCCACACGTAGAATGCGGCGGCGCCTCATCTCTCGTGATTGGTCCATTTAGTTCAAACGTGTCCAAAGTTCAGCCTGGGGGGGTCTACTTTTATCCTACCCGCCGCCTCTGTCATGAAATGAACAACGTCTGATTAAAAACAAACCATATTTAAAGATGACATGCGAATGTTTTGAGCTTCAAACTTAAATCCAATCGAGCTGTACTTAGGCAGCGATTCTTTCTGGTACCACACGGGGGCGGCGGTGCACCACTAGTTTCGACACACCATCCTGTAGATGTGTGCTACTGTTGTTTCTTCACCCTTAGCCTTTAACAAGTACTGTAGATTGTTTCCATTTTTGTACAAATAACACAGTATTTACAAAATAAGAATGTCTTTAGACATTTTTAGTTGTCACATCAAAATGTCAATTCATACAATCATTCGGAAAAGCTCATTGGGTTAAAAAAAGTTTTTTTTTTTTTTTTTTTTTCATTTTATGATCCTTTCTTTTCTCATCTTTGCAAGTATTCGGTGAAAGCAATACAGCGGCTCCACGTGAACACGGCCACCTTTTCCTTTTCCAACTTGTTATGTGTGATTGGTCCATTTAGTTCAAACGTGTCCAAAGTTCAGCCTGGGGGGGTCTACTTTTATCCTACCCGCCGCCTCTGTCATGAAATGAACAACGTCTGATTAAAAACAAACCATATTTAAAGATGACATGCGAATGTTTTGAGCTTCAAACTTAAATCCAATCGAGCTGTACTTAGGCAGCGATTCTTTCTGGTACCACACGGGGGAGCCAGTGTGCCACTAGTTTCGACACACCATCCTGTAGGTGTGTGCTACTGTTGTTTCTTCACCCTTAGCCTTGAAAAAGTACTGTAGATTGTTTCCATTTTTGTACAAATAACACAGTATTTACAAAATTAGAATGTCTTTAGACATTTAGTTGTCACATCAAAATGTCAATTCATACAATTATTTGGAAAAGCTCATTGGGTTAAAAAAAAAGTTTGTTTGTTTTTTTTTTTCATTTTATGATCCTTTCTTTTCTCATCTTTGCAAGTATTCGGTGAAAGCAATACAGCGGCTCCACGTGAACACGGCCACCTTTTCCTTTTCCAACTTGTTATGTTTTGGGCTCCCTTACCTCAGGTCAGTCCAACACTCAAATGGTGTCGATGACAAATGAACTGTCCCAGAAGAACGAGGAGCTGGTCAGACACCAGGAGGAAATCGCTCAGTTGCTGTCGCAAATTGTAGAGCTGCAGCATCGGGTCAAGGAGGTGAGGAACCGCCTCCAAAAGGGTCCACCGTGTTGCATGCTCTGTATTACATAATAGGGCTGAACCATTTTGACAAATAATTGAATTGCATTTTTTTTTTCATTTAAATTCCTCTTCTCATGTGTTTCTACATTGCAATGTCGATTTGAATTGGATTATTTGCTCAGCCCCAGCGCATCCTGAATTGTTTCAAAAAGTCAGCCACTCACCGACGTTGTCGCTCTTGCTGTTAAGCTCGCTTTGGAGAAAGAAGAGCTGAGGATCCACTTACAGGCTTCCAAAGAGGCCCAGCGACAACTCACAGCGGAGGTACCGCGTCACGCAGCCGTACACGCGCACCCCATTTTGAAGATATCTTCATTGAGTGGCCATTTAAATTCCTCTTCTCATGTGTTTCTACATTGCAATGTCGATTTGAATTGGATTATTTGCTCAGCCCCAGTGTTTCTACATTGCGATGTCGATTTGAATTGGATTATTTGCTCAGCCCCAGCGCATCCTGAATTGTTTCAAAAAGTCAGCCACTCACCGACGTTGTCGCTCTTGCTGTTAAGCTCGCTTTGGAGAAAGAAGAGCTGAGGATCCACTTACAGGCTTCCAAAGAGGCCCAGCGACAACTCACAGCGGAGGTACCGCGTCACGCAGCATTTCAAACTCATCCCCCCCCCCCCAAAAAATAGATAGATAGCTTACAGATGATTGAATTACGCGACCCCATGTTCGAGTGGTTAGCGCGTCGACCTCACAGTGCAGAGGTCGTGGGTTCGCTTCTGGCTCCAGTCTTCCTGTGTGGAGTTTGCATGTTCTCCGTGGGTCTGCGTGGGTTTTCTCCGGGTACTCCGGTTTCCTCTCGCATTCCAAAAACATGCCTGGCAGGCTGATTGAACACTTAAAATTGTCCGCCCTCGGTGCGAGTGTGAGCGTGAATGGTTGCCCGTCAATGTGTGCCCTGCGATTGTCTGGCAACCGGTTCAGGGTGTCCCCCGCCTCCTGTCCCAAGACGGCTTTGGGCTCCAGCACCCCCCGCGACCCTCGTGAGGATTAAGCGGTTCAGAAAATGAATGAATGATTGAATTTAAAAAAAAAAAAAAAAAAAACATTAAGTTTCAAACTCAAAGATACTAATTTTTTACCTTCCAATTATGTCATTACTGCATGTTTATGGAAACTACAATATTATGGAGTGCTCTTTGTTAAAAAGAACTCCTCAAAAACACACGCAAACATCTCAACGGAGCTTTATTAACAGAGCACAATAAGCATGAATACATTTTTGAGTGAATCGCTGAGGATCGGTTCGACAAAAAACAAACAAAATGGGCAGGACGTTGACTGGAACAGCAGGATTGTCTCATGTAGTTTTCTGGTCCGTCATATCTAATGGACCTTCCGCCCCAGGATTTGCCAGAAGAGAGTCTTCCAGACGGTGCGCTCCGTCAACGCCTCAACATCGCGGCCCCATTCGGCAACCCCGCCTATTCCTGGTTCTGGACGGAACTCTCTGGTGATGACAGCGCAGCCCTTCCCCTCTTCTCATGGGTAAGTCAAACCGTGAGTCGGGATAACCCAAGAAGAGGAATGCCAACGGGTTTTCATTTTTGGGTTTGAAGAGATGAGCTGCCACAGGGCCAGCCCGGTTTCCCGGGTGGGAACGACCTGACGAAAGCGCTGCATCGACTGTCGCTACGACGGCAGAACTTCTTGTCGGAGCACCAGTTCTTCAAAGCGGAGCGAGAGAAAAAGCTGCAGACCCTCGCCGGGGCCGAGGCTCGTGACGTGGGAAGCGGCTGCGGCTCGCCAATGGGCAGCGCGTTCTCTTCCTTTTCCAATCTGTCAGAACTCTCCATCGGCTCCAGCGTCTTCAAGACTTTCCTGCCGGAGAAGCTTCAGATTGTCAAACCCATGGAAGGTGAATCACCCAAGACACAACTTGGTTTGGTCCCGCCCCCGGTGTGACCCTCTCTGCCTTTTTTCTTCAGGCTCCCTGACGCTCCATCACTGGCAGCAGCTTGCCAAACCCCACCTGGCCACCATCCTGGACCCGCACCCCGGCGTCGTCACCAAGGGTTTCCGGCCGCTCGCCCAGGAGGCCGTTTACCGGCTGAACGACATGGAGGAAGATGAGGAGGACGAAGCACGCCGAGAGAGGGAGGCCGGCGTCTTGGAGAAAGGCGCGGCCGAGAGAGGGAAAGAGGAAGACGAGGAGGAAGTTGGCATTGTCTTCAAAGTGCGCTGCTCGTCGACGCCCGACCAAAAGAAAACAGAAAGAAAGCTCAAATCAATCTTTTTTTTTAATTTTTATTTTATTTGGTGGGGGGGGGCATAGGGGTTGTATTTTTAACTCGAAAACATTGATGAAAGCTATGTCAGAGTATGGCAATTTTTTTTCTTTATTCCCACACACACACACACACACACACACACATACACACACACACACACACGCACACACACACACACTGTTAAAAATATATATATCCATAAACATTTCAATACAAAGCATTATAGCCCTTATTTGGTATTGGTACAATTTGAGACAAGAAAACTTTTTTAAAAAATACTTACATTTTAAGTATTTAAGTATTGAAAATGTAAATGCTCGTCGGGCCGCAAAGAACGCAACTCTGCCCCCATCCATCCCAGCGACGATTTTTAAAAATACTTAAATTTTAAGTCTTGAAAATGTAAATGCTCGTCGGGCCGGGAAGAACGCAACTCTGCCCCCATCCATCCCAGCGACGTCGAGCTCTCTGTTGGATTCCATTTCAGTATCTTGTTTTGTGTGCAGTCCCAAATCCAGTCAAGTGTCAGAGCTCCACCTTCTCCACCTACACGTTCACCACCTGCCGCATCTTGCACCCTTGTGATGTCACGCAAGTCACCCAAAGGTCAGTCCGCTTCGTCGCTTCCATGCACAGTATTTATTTCAACAGACCGCTTCCTCTCAAACTCTTATAGCGAGCGACACCAAGAAAAAAACTTGGATCTCCAAATACCGCCGTCGTGGCCGACAATAAAATACTGTGACGGATGAGGCGCAAGTGTTTCGATCTGGGGCTAACACGATGGAGCTTTTGGTTTTGCCCGTGTTTGCACCGCTTAGCGATTGTTGCGTTCTCGTCACGGTTCCTTCAAGGTCGCAAACATTCGTCTGTACCTCTCTCACTCCCTGTTGGCGAACGTCTGGAGAACGTTGGCGACCTTGAACGGACAGCGACGTCCACGCGCATTCGCTACCTTCGCGAACCCTCGCGAACATTCGCCCCTCGCTGGAATACAGATTTGAATCAAATAACTCTCATGATTCTCTTGGAAGGTCATGACTGGCGGTGCTGCGGATGCACACACCACTTGGTGTCGAAAAAAGTTTTATCAATCAGATAATCGGCAGCCGAACGGGTTCCGGAAGTGCTCGGTGGCTGTGTTAAGCCGTGTGTGCGTGTTCTTCAAAATCGAGAGAACGGCTTTTCTTTCTAAAGTCTCTTTCATATCCGACATGATGCATAGTTTGAACACCACCTTCGCTGTCGCAACATATAAAGAACTTCAGTCACTGAAAAATCGATTGCGCATCAAAATCAAATTGGACTCGCAATAAAACCACTTGAACAAACCCGTAAAGATTCACTCTCAATGTGCTGAAACACGAAACGAAATGGAATTGTGCTTAAAAACAACAAAAAAAAGCTTCATTCTAATATGTTTGATTCGAGCTCATGTGTTGACAGAAAAAAAAAAACCTGACTTGAACCGAAATAACAGTTGACAGCAACGATTGCGATCGCTTTTGATAACTGTTGAAGAAAATCCAAAGTTGAAGAATAAATGTGGGACCAGCAAGACTGTCGGCTGGCGTCGTAAGCACTTGTGACGGGACGGAGCGGGAACGAAAGTCAGCCCAAGCCATCGTAGCGCACGAGTTAGACAAGCCGCCGCGGAGCGTCATCTCTTAAACGGGGAGGATGCCGTCCGTGTCAAAAGTGCTGGCGAGATTTGAATGATGCGAGACGCCACACGGAAATGGCCAATAAGGGTGACAATTGTTTCCTCCCCCCACCTCCCTCTGTCTCTAGTTCACAGTCATCTGCCAATGGCAACACGCCGAGCTCCATGAGGACGGGACCCAGCACCCCTCTGACACCCTGCCGCCTCAGCCTGGGAGACGCCTTTCCCGTCCGGCGCCCCCCCGTGGCCACCGGCGGGTTGGCCAAGTTGGTCCTGGAGAGAGGCATTTCTGCACAGGTCTCCACGGAAACCCCCCCGTTGGGCGCAAGGCCCACGCCCCCGCAGCCCCTCCTCCGCCTTCTCCCGGGCACGCCCCCCAACTCGCCCTCGCACTCGCCCGGATCCGAGTGCCGCCAGCACTCGGCGGACAATTTTCTGGCCTCGAGGCCGGCCGAGTTGTTCCTGCGAGACGTTTACGGCTTGAACCTGGGCCGCTCGCCGCACCCCGACCTACCCAGCCCCTCCCGGGAGAACTCGGCCCGCGCGCCGCCCCCGGACCCTCTTAACGTCGGCCTTTTGGAGCGGCTGCGTCAGATGGGATTGACCAAGGCCCCCCAGGCGTCCGCCACCTTCGTGTCGGCGGGCGGCGGGAGCCTGCTGGACGGTCTGAGGCGCAACCACAGCCTTCCGGCGATGATCGGCGCCCGGGCGGGAAAGGCGGCGGGCCGGCCCGTGCCTCCCCCTCCCCCCGCCTCCCTGGCGCTCCCCCCACCACCTTGGGGCAACCTCAAGCAAAGATGCACAAAAGGCACCTCGAACACCCTGCCGCGTTCGGGGGAATCCTAAACGCCGTCGTTGCCCCTAAAAAGTCCCGCTTATGTGTCCTGTTCCAACCTCGCTTTTTATTTAGGACTTGATTTTTAAAGCACAACAGATTTCAACGGAATTTTTAACTGCCTGCTACCCCTTTGCCCTGATTCGAGTTTTACAGGCCTAAGCTTTTGTCTCAATGGACCTTGTTGAACGGCTCTGTGTGTTTTGTAAAGGGGGAAGCTTTGACCACATGGACCAAAGTATCGAGATGGTGTGGATCAATCCCACCGAACTTAAATGAGCAAAGAAGGTTTTGTGGATGTGGAAGAGAAGGAAGGCGTTTCCGGTTGGGATGGTTTCAGAAAGGATGGTCTCTGTTACGTTTGTTCACGTTTGAATCCAGACTTGTTCCAAGGGCTTCTTTCGTCGTGGCCTCAATATGAATGTAGGAATTGAAGTACGGGGCGTCCCCCAAAAGATTCAAATATGACTTTCTGAATAACTATGTTTCCTAGGCAACAAAAAAAAATATGAACGGGCTTCTGGTTCATTGTCTTGAAGTCGATGGAAATCATACACACGTCTCCTGACAAACCTGGTTTTTCCTCGTCGTTAAAATTTTCGCTCATTTGCCCGAGAAATTGGCTTGTGGTCAACCAAACCTTTTCAACCAAGCACCATTTAAAAATATTTCTCTGAATGACAGATATTAAAATATCGTAGCACAAGGTAGAGGCCAGCGTAACGCTCTGCACATTTAATTGAGTGATCTTCTTTTATTGTAATGTTAGAGATTGCCAAATGATCGGGAGACTTTTTCCGTCCCGCCCCGTGTATTGACAGTAAATCCGGCGTCATTTTTGTCATCCCCTGCTATTGACGTAACCTGATGGATAAAATTTCACAGACCAGGTGTAGTCGAGTCCTCGGTCTTCGAGATCCGCTGCCCTTTGATCAGCGCATCCGCAAGCTCTGGAGAGGTTCGATAACTCACCTGATCATTTCAATCAGTTGTGTGAAGGAGGCAAACTTCGAAAACAAGCAGCGCAACGGCTCTGTAGGATTGGACTTGCCTCGGCCCGCACTAGACAAAAAGTCCCCTCTGCAGCATTTTTGGATGCTGACATGACATTCTTGCGTCCAAGTCTCCGGGTCCCAGCATGTTCATGGGGACCCGGTTGAAGGTCCGAACCAGACCAGGAAAGTTGGATATTGTGTGTCGTGGATTATTACTATTTTTTTTAATAAGCGGCCTTATGTAGAAGTGTTGCTCGTTTGCCTTTTCGCCACTCGCTGTGTATTATTTGCATGTTTTGTGTTTCACTCCGTCCACACTTAGACTGAGTTACTGCACTTTGTTATATGCATTTTCAAGTTTGGTTTTCTTACGCTAACCTATTGATGAAAACGATTTCAGTCATAATGTTGACTAAAACAACGTCGCGGTCTGTTGTTTTTGTCCAGATTTGGAAGATTACCAAAATCCTGCCATTCTTTTATTTATTAATTTTTTTTTTAATATACTGGCTTTCGTGTATTTTAGCTTACAAATTTTTGTAATCCACATAAAATGTTTGCAAGACTGAAAGTAGACTGTTTTATATCTTTCCGCTTTATTGTAGTTGGATGTCACCCCGGTTACAGCTTCTCCTGGCATAAGATTCTCGAAGTAACTCATAGCTGTTAATTAGTTGCCCCCATTTTTTACAATAAAGGAATGGAGAAAAAAAAAAGTTCATATGTGCTTGCTGGAAAGATTCACAACGGGGAATTTGATAGGGGGAATAAATATATACAGAAAGTTTTGAAGCCAACTTTAACTTTAAGCATTATAGCATATAAATAACAACATAATCAAATGCTGGGCAATGTATGAAATAACGACACCTCTGCTCAACCGGATTGACAAAATAAATAGTTGAAAGTGTGTTTAATTAAAGACACAATAATGAACAAATTAAAAAAAAAAACCCTCACATGGGACACAGCTTGACGCTGTCAGAGGTGGAGCTGAACTGTCCACGTGCGAAATCCAAACCCACTCCGAGCCCACTCCCCACCCCAAAGACAGCATAGAGGGGCTGGGTAAAGTTTGCCCGGAACGTGTGGAGGGGCGTCAAGCTCTCGGCCACGCCGTAGAACGACAGCGTTCCCGTGTTCAAATCCACAAAGACGCCCAGACGGGGGGAGTAAGTGACGGGTATGTCCCGCTTCTGGTTGTCGTGCAGCGCGCAGCAGCACGAGTCGGAGAGCTCCAGCGTCCACGACTGGGCGTTGTAGCCGAGTCCCGCCCTGGCGTCGGAGCCCTTCCTGCTCAGCGAGCCGTACGCCACGCCCACGGACGAACCTCTGCCTCGCCACTCCACTTCCCAGTAGGAACGCTGCGAATGCAGCGGGGTCCCGCACATCACCTGGGTCCAGCCGTCAAAACGTTGAGGGGTGTCCGCATAGGGCACCATTTCTCCTTGCAGGGTCGCTTTGGTGTTGCCCTCGGAGAGAAGCAGGCGACGATGGGCGCTGTTTGGATCAAAGGTGAAGTTGACAGAATCTACGAGAGAGAGAGAGAGAAAATCGATCATTCGCTTTCAGTTGCTCGTTCTTTGTCTGCAGAGTCCAGAAGGGGCTCGTTATCCATCCAGCCCTCTTCATTTATTTCGACTTGGTCATGCGGAACGGAGGACCCCAGGTGTACATTATTTATCCTCAGCATAGAACAACTAATATTACTGCTATACTGAGAAGCTCAGAGAGGAGCTGAATTTTCTCTATTGTATCATTTTTTTTCTATTTTTATCAAGTATGATAACAGAGTTTTCCGTTTGATAATGTTGTACGATTTGGTGGTGTTTTTTGTTTTGGGTTGGGGGGGTGAAGAGAAGAAAGGCTTTTCCGTTCACTTCAATATGGAAAAATGACTTGCGCGCACAATTTGGTGGTGTTTTTTTGTTTTGGGTTGGGGGGGGTGAAGAGAAGAAAGGATTTTCCGTTCACTTCAATATGGAAAAATGACTTGCGATTAAAAATGTGAAGTATAAGTGTGGTCCTAGAACAAATTGAATTTATATCTCAAGGCGCCATTGTGTTTTCAACATAGTTGTATGCTTACGAAGGAATAAAAAAATTTAAAAAATCTTGGTCAAATGTCAAAGCAAAAATTGGAGTCAAATTAAGTGAAAGTAACGTCCGGTCAAGTCACACCAGTGATGGCTGCTGGACTTCGTGAAAGGAAGGAAGTTAAGTTACTTCTGAAAACGTCCACTCTTTTCGACACTTGACCAATGACATGCAAACATGTCAAACGGAACGGTCGAAATTCTTCACCATGGCCAAAAATCGGTTCAAAAAGTTATTTTCTGTGACCGAATTGCAATGAAGGCCGATAAAGATTTCTGCTCCTTCTTCAAAATATCTGAGTTGTGGATATATTACCAGGTACAAATGAGACTTACATTGCAGTAAGTCCTCTCTTGCCCTCGGTTCCGGAGCCTGGATGCTGTCAAGGCTGATTTCTCTTACTGATGTCAGAAAAAAAAAAGAGAGGTAGGCAGAAAATTCCCAACTGTGGCTGACCAGAAGGTAGCTCAACTCATTTTAGGATTGACTGGAACAATCCTTCACTTTTATGCGCAATATATTTATAGGTGAATCGTTATTTCCGTACATGTTGTATTTTCCTGTTGCGCAATGTGAATAGTTGCGCAATCATTCAAGTCGGTTGCTGTGTCATTTCACTCACGTGCAGGGAAAGCAGGCTGGTGATGGTTGGCAGCCGGGGTGGGTGAGTCCAAAAACAGACCGGGGTTAACTGTCATGACAAAAAAGGATTGCATAGACGTCCCATTCAAGCGACCAAAGTGGAATTTGGCAAGCGACGGCATCTTACCTTCCACTGGTGTTTCAGACACCGTCGACAGTCCCCCTGTTGAAGAGGAGCGTAACCTCGCATGATTTAAGAATGTGACAATGTTTGCATCGGCATGAACGAAAGGAGAAGTTTGTGCTCACGTGCCTGCAAACGGCGCGGGCGCTGCGGGTGTGTTGCCACGACGGGACCGGAAAATGCTGCTGATCGATGACATGCGACGAGAAGCTGATCAAACAAAGGGGAAAACGGGATTGTGTTCACTCTTGGGTACTTTTCGGGTAAAATTTGACCTGTTTGGATATTTGCCAGTCGTCAAAATACCATCGATTTGTTTTCACCCTGAAAATGAAAAAAGGGTGATATATTGTAATCCGCTTATCCTCGCGGGCGTGTTGGAGCCTATCCCAGCTGTCTTTGGGCAGTAGGCTGGGGACACCCTGAACCGGTTGCCAGCCCATTGTGGGGCACGCGGGAATGCAGAGGTCGTGAGTTCGATCCCGGCTCCGTCCTTCTGGGTGAAGTTTGCCTGTTCTCCCCGTGCTTGCGTGGGTTTTCTCCGGGTACTCCGGTTTCCTCCCACATTCCAAAAACATGCATGGCAGGCTGATTGAACGCTCGAAATTTTCCCTAGGTATGAGTGTGAGCGCAAATGATTGTTCGTCTCTGTGTGTCCGGCGATTGGCTGGCAACCAGTTCAGGGTGTCCCCTGCCTACTGCCCGGGATAGGCTCCAGCGCCCCCCGCAACCATTGTGAGGATAAAGCGGCTCGGAAAATGGATGGATGGATGTTTCACAATTTCATAGAGATGCTCTTCTTGCCCCATGTCAAAATTGATCTGGAGTGTCATATGTGTGCAATATAAATGTCGATTATGTTTGGGTTACGGCGACAACAAAAAACGATTTTTCTACCTCCAGTGGATGCTGGCACAGGAGCAAGAGTGGGAGTCGCAGGGAGACTCTGACTCTGACTCTGACTCTGACTGGACCTGCTCCACAGAGACGGGGATTCTCTCCTGCTTGGAGTTGGGCTTGGGGTCGGGCTCGGTCTGGGGTTGGTCTCCCGTGCTGGTGACAACGATGACAATGAACAAAAGTTTTTTTGTTTTTTTTACTAGATACCTTGGAATTCACGTGTGAAATGCTTCCCTTCAGTGGTGGGAAGTGACCACGTAAAAATACTTTGTTCATGTACATGTAGATTTTTTTTTTTTCGGTATGTGCTTTTGTTATGCTAGATCTTGGCTTTTCGGCTGACATGAAAGTCCACCTTGTTTCCCAAAAAGTTGATGACCACCCTGGCAGAACGGGCATGTCTAATTCTAACTCCTATCAAGGACCTTACACCTTTGTCGGAGTTTGTTCAAATTTGTCTAAAATGGCTGCTTCAAACCAAAAGCGTTACTGTTCAATTTCAAGCTTTGGTCCTTTCGTCTTTTGGGCATTTGGCATTTGTCCTGTCGTGACTGATGTGTCCACTAAAATCATCTTGATCAGTAAAACGGTTGACTGTGGGCTTTTTTTTTTTTTTTTAATTTAAACTTTACAGGAGGGACACCTGAGTAAGTTTGAGGGTCATGTTTAGGCCCA